TGAATTTTTTTTCACTTGGGAAGTTGGTTTTTGGCCTATGGTGAAATTACAATTATACTCTTCGTAGGTCAAAATGTGTTATATGGGTGAAGTTGTAAATATTTTAAACTAAATGAAAGTAGTTTGGTCATTTTATTATGATTTGACATCATAAACAAATATTAATAAAAAAAAGTTAAAAGTCACTTTTTACCAACTTCCCAAATCATTTGTCTAAAAAAGTTAAAAGCTTGGTTAAAATTCAAAAAGTCCCTAGGTCCTGGGTTCAACTCCCCTCTGGGCCAATCTCCTGGGCGTAGCATAGTTGGTTAGGAGGTTGACCTCAATGATGCCTTATCAGCTACTTGGTGTGGGTTTAATTCTCTCCCGCTGTGCGAGTCCTGTCTTAAGCGGAGCTTGCCTTGGGAGGTTGGGACAAGCTTCCAGGTTATAGTCTTTTACTCGGAACGGACAACAGGACACCCTGGTGACCTCCTCAAGGGGCGTTGCCTTGGACCTGCGGGAGAGTGGGAGGAGTTTCCTGGAACAAAAAAAAAAAAAAAAATTCAAAAAGTCACTTTTTATCATCTTTCCAAAATAGACCCAAGTAAATATTGTGTCATATATTTAGGCATTGTTTGGAGACAAATTATTTTAATAATTTTTTGACTTTTTACGAAAAATTATATAGAAAAATAGAGAGAGTGATGTGACAACTTATAATAATTTTTTAACTTTTTAACTAAAACATATAGTTGTCAAATGAGACCTTAATTACATTCAAAATAAGTTGTCCCCTAAAAATACTTTTCAAAATATCCAATAATAAATAATTATTCAATAGATTCCGAATATTATATGACATTATTTATATGATATTCTTTAAATTTTTCACGTAACTAGTTTAAAACAATATATAAATATGAGTATATAGTGTACATAGTGTTCAAGAATTATTGAGTAATATACATCCACACCTCTAGAAAAAAAAAAAAAGAAAAAAGAAGAAGATTAGTGTATCCAATTAAGTGATTAGAAAATGTGTTTTTTTTATTTATTATTCACTGTGTTTTGTTTGAGTTTTCTGAATTAAGTTTTTTGAAAACTGAATTTTTTGATTTTTGTATTTTTTTGTTTTTAGTTAATATTTTTAAAATTTTAAACATTTTTTTTTACTTTTTAAGATGCACCATACTTAGATGTGTCTAAAAAGTAAAAAAATTGTGAAAAAATATTTTAAAAAATTAAGAAATACATAAAAATATAAAAAATGTATCTTGTATTTTTTTTTTTGTATTTTTGGTATTTAGTGAATTTTTTTAAAAAAAATTTTACAATTTTTTTACTTTTTAGGTGTATTTATGTTAGGTGTGTCTAAAAAGTAAAAAATTTGCATAAAATATTAAAAAAATTCAGTAAAAACAAAAAAATATAAAAAATAAGAATGTAAAAACTGTTTTTAAAAAATTGGGAACAAAGCATTATTTTTTTTTCAAATAGCCCCTGCACCATCATTGGATAGCAAATAGCTCCTGCACCAGCATTCGATGGCGTACCCATTATATATTTAGATGTTACTTATATTATATATAGATGTGATTGTAAATATCGAAAAAGAAACTATAATTTAAAATTGACAAGTAGTTGGTAATATGTCACAAAACGCGTTGACCCTGTAACATGATTATTATATAATAATTTATATGGAGAAGCTGTGGGATTTGAATTGGATCCAAAAAAAAAAAAAAACTAATTGATCAAAAAAAAAAAAAACTTGTGGGATTTGAATTGGTACATTCATTGCATACTAATAGCCCTCAAACCACCAATTACAACTTATGTCATTATTTTAAAATTATTAGTGTGTTTGGTTTGAGTTTTTTGGATTAAATTTTTTGAAAATTAAATTTTTTGATTTTCGTATTTTTTTGTTTTTAGTGAATTTTTTAAAATTTTAAATATTTTTTGTACTTTTTTAAATGCACCTTACTTAGATGTATCTAAAAAGTAAAAAAATTGTGAAAAAATATTTTAAAAAATTAAGAAATACATAAAAATACAAAAAAATACTGAATTCTTGTATTTTTTTTGTATTTTTGGTATTTAGTGAATTTTTAAAAGATTTTTTTTATAATTTTTTTACTTTTTAAGTGTATTTATGTTAGGTGTGTCTAAAAAGTAAAAAATTTACATAAAATATTTAAAAAATTCAGTAAAAATAAAAAAATACGAAAAATAAAAAAGTACTCCCTCCGTCCCAAAATAATGGTCCCTTTTGGGGAATCCAACTTTTTTTGGTAGTACAATTATTGCATTTGAAAAAAGTTGATTTTCCAAAATTATCCTTTTGATAGTACATTTTTTGGGGAATATCAATGCATAATTGTACTTTTTATGTTGTTTATTAATTTAAAAGAAGGGTAAAATAGGAAATTTATATTATTTTTGTACTTGATTTTTGAAGAGGGACTAATATTTTGGAACAATGAAAAATGGAATAAGGGACTAATATTTTGAGACGGAGGGAGTATAATTTTCTGAAAACTGCTTTTAGAAAAATGGAACCAAGCAACCTCATATCTTACAAAGAGAATAGGCAAGGTTATGCATATTATATTTTTCATAATTAATAAATAATTAAGTGAAAGTACAACAATGAAGTCCAACTAGCCATTTGAAATCTACACATGCATGCAAATAAAATTCATGTAGCATGTATGATGAACCTGTTTTCAACATTGTAAATAAAATTTAATAAAATTAGATCATATAGAAAGGGACAATGATCAACAGTCTTTCTTGTTTGTTCCATCAAATTGAATAGATTAATTTATATATTTTTTTTCATCCTTGTGGGCTTGTAGCAAGAACAAGGGCCAGCTCATAATAGAGTTATATTAAAAATAAGTATTAGTGATTTATGAAATGCTTAATATAATTATTTTGATTAATTAAATTTCATTTATAATACAATGGTAAAGAGTAAAGCTTGGTTTGCCAATATTTTTTTTTTGTTGCTAATTTGTCTTTATTTTATTATTTTATTTTTTTAAAGCTCTGTTTGGATCGCGAGTTAACAAAATAAAAGAAATGACTGTGATATCTAATTTAGGCGAGAAAAATAAATAAATAGTTATATTTTCTTATTATCATGTTTGGGTGAGTAAAAAACTAAAGTATGTGATATAAGAATACGAGTGCATTTTTTATTTTTTATTTATTTTTATCTTTCATATTTTGATGAGCAATCTTGGTAGTATAAAAATACATGCTAATAAATTTGTTTCACCCAAAATCTTACCATTTTTTGTTAAGAGTGTTATTAAATGAATCAAACTACACAGGGTTGGACTCTTCAAAAGATTGAATACAATTTTAAATTTGCTAAATTTTCAAACTAAGTTTAAATAACATATTGTGCAATTTGATAAATTTACATACACTATAACAAATTAAAATACTCAAGCTAAACTATTGTTGGATTTGTTAAAAGCCCATTCAAAACCTGAATTGTTAGGTAAACAAACAAAACTTCAATATATTTGAAATTTTCTAAAAATACTTTTCAAAAAATTCTACTTTATTGTTTTCCATATATATTTTTTATTTTTACTGATTTTTTAAAATATTTTAAGCAATTTTTTTTTAAAATTTTTTTAGACACACTTAATATAAATACACTTAAAAAGTATATTTTTTTTGAAAAAATCTTTAAAAAATTCACTAAATACTAAAAATACAAAAAAAAATTACTAAAATTCAGTATATTTTTCATATTTTTGTGTATTTATTAATTTTTAAAAATATTTTTCACAAATATTTTATTTTTTAAACACATCTAAGTAAGATGCATCTAAAAAAGTAAAAAAAATGTTTAAAATTTTAAAAATATTCACTAAAAACAAAAAAATACGAAAAACAAAAAACAAAAAACTCAATTTTTAAAAAATTTAATTCAAAAAACTCAAACCAAACATACATTAAATTTTTAAATCAAGATTGAATAAACTATTTGAGCATCTCTCATGGAGCTCTCAAAACACTTGCCAAAGTTATAATTTAACAATAGTGATAAAAAGTGAGTCTCCAATGACTTGCTATTTTACTTGCCAAATATGACATATGTCATATCTGTTCTCAAATTTGGCAAATAAAATAGCAATTGCCAAACATGTCACATAAGTAAATATAAACATATTTGTGGTTCCAAATTCAGTTGAAAAAACAGAATTAAAACAGTAGAAACCAAGTAATTTTTCAAATTTAATTTTTCTATTTAATTTTTCAAATTGAATTATATTTAATTTTTTTTCTAATTTTTTTCATTTTTTATATTTGTCTAGTGGTGAATAATATAAATATATAATTATTTTTACAAATAGTTAAAAAAAGGTCGACAAAAAAATAAACAAAAATAAAATCACAAAAAAATCTATATCCAAACAACATCTACAAACTTGAAGGGAAAATTGGTTGAGATTGCCAAAATAGCAAGTGACCATTGGAGCACCATTGCTATATTTGACAAAATAACACTATTCATTGTCAAATTATAGCAATAACAATAGTATTATAGCAACAACCATTGAAGATGTTTTTATGTAACTTATTTACGGCCTTATTTCATTTCTCACTAAACATGTATCCAAACATGTGAATAGAATTTTTTTTTATTTTTTATTTTTCTTCTTCGAAGTGTAATATATTTTTTATTTGTAAGAAATTATAGTTTAAGAGCATCCAGTAGCATAAAAATTGAATAAAAAAATATCATTAAATTAAAAAAAAAAAATTTGTTGTCCCGGCTAGCATAAATACTTCGAGTCACACCTTAGGGCTAGTGAAAATTTGCTCCGATTCATTAATTTCAAGGTCTTAAAATTAGTCGAGGTGTGTAAAAATTAGCCCGAACAATCAGATTAAAAAAAATAAATAAATAAATAAATTGGCTAGCACAAATACGAAAAGGAAGAGTACAATAGAGATTGAACTCCGGGATCGAACTTCCATACTGATGCTGATGCTAATACTAATGCTAATATAAGCCCACCCCCATAATTAATTAAACACTCCACCATTTGCTTCTCTGTACTACTCTCCCTTATTCTCTCTCTCTATCTCTCTCTCAATCAAACAATGCCCTCAATTTCTATACTTGGTTTCAGTTAACCTACGCACCCCCGGCGCATGATATGGAGGGGTCGTCCATTGTATCCAAAGCTAGGACCGCCTTTCATTCTGCGGCGGCTAAGGCGGAGAGAGTCTTCACGGACATTACAAAATCTGATTCCTCAACCGATCGTGGTACAATTTCTTTTTTCTATTTTTGGACTTTGAATTTCTTTCCATTTTCTTTTTCCCTTATTTTTTTGTTTTTGTTTTTGAACTATCTATGTCGAAGGAAATGTCTATATTGATTCAATCGGAGAAGTTTCTGATAACAAATCCCCCAAGACCCCTAATTCCGATTCTCCGAATACCTCCTGCGAGTCAAAGGTCGGTTATTTTTATTTTTTAAAATTTTAATTTAATTTTCATTTCGACTCTGATGTTTGTTCGTTTGAAAATTAATGATCTTGTTTTTATTTTTATTTTTTGACTTTGTTTGGGTAGAAAAGCAGAAGAAAATTATGGGAAAGAAATTTAGAATTAGGATTTGATCTTGTTTTGGATTCATGTAAGATTGCCAAGACAATTTATTTGATGAAAGTTGATGAACACAAAACAAACTTGAATTTTTTTAATATTCTGTTGGGTTTTCAAAATTGAAAATACAGCTTGAATTGAGGCAAGTAGTTGCAGCGGTCTGAGTTGAATGTAGATTTTGTTTCCTCATGTCCAAAAAGAGAAAAAGAAAAAGAAAAAAAAGAGGAGAGATTTTTCAGTGTTGTTTCATTCATTCATGCACACAGATATGAAAATAGTGGAAAACTTCCAATATTTATCTTTTATAAGTAACAAATTTTTGTAAATTATGCAATTATTTGTTTCTAAATGTTTTTCACCGTCACCCATTTTTGATTTACTTTCAATTAGACTGCTTCTTTTGTTGAGGAAAAAAATATCTTTTATGTACTTTTGTTTGAAAGTATTTAAATTTATTATGATGCAGAGTCACCATGAAGTTGAATACTGTACGAGGAAACAGGTTCCATTAAAGACAAAGCAAGATTGGCATGAGAGATTGAAGAACATTAGAATAAGGAAAAAAGGTGTTGAAGATTTTGATAAAGCTGGAAATCCAACCATGTCATTTGCAATTTTTGATGAAAACTTGTACCTTATGAGCATGACCAATGTTTCTGAATCAAAGGTAAATTTTTCTTTCTCATTCTTTAATCAGATAAGAAAGGAATCTATGAAACATGTTGAAGTCTGTATTTGTTCCATAATTGGACCAGCTGGAGAGTACACATGAACCTGAGTCTTTAGATATGTAGAGTGTTCCAGATTCCCAATGGCCATTGTTTAGGTGTCTTTGGGACTTCACACATTGGAATAGAAGATTTGAAAATTTAATTATTATCCTACATACATGCATCAAATTCACACTTCCATGGGAACCCTAAAACTATTAAAATTTAAGATAGGACTATACTGTAATAAGTGGCTTATTTTTTATTTTTAACAATCAGGAGGAGGAGAAGGGGATGGGGAAGGGGAAGGGGCATCACGTAGTGGTGAGACTCGAACCCAGGCATCACACTTGGTAAGGGAGCATTTCGTCCACCAGGCCAATTCCTTGGTCTCAAAGAAGTCTAGTAAGAGTGATGTTTTATGTTCGTTGGGGCCTGCACTATTCCAGTGTGCTTTAGGTGGCTTAATAGATTCTGGTTGTACTTAGCGGTTTGAAGGGTTATGGTTTTTGAACTAATAAAGTTGATTCTTAAAACTCTCGTCTTTTTGCTCAAAATGATATATTATTTTAAGATTTGATAAATTTTCTCATGAATGAGATCAATAATTTTCAGGGTTCAGAAACAGGTTCCTTGCCAGAATGTTTGAGCAACAGTAGTATTATTCCTCCAGCATCTGTCATGAAGCTATTGGCTATAGCTGTTGAGTAAGTATTTCTTTTTTTTTTTTTGGTTGCCATTTTCACAGTTCTTTCCTTTTCTTTTAGTTTTGTTGATCATCATCCATATTTGGTGCATTGCTATCATAGTAGATAAGAACTTTAAAAACTATTATATATGTTCAAATGTACTGATAAATGTATGTATATACATACATATATATATATATATATACATATATGTATGTTCATGTGCATAAGCTTTTATGAGATGATTATTTTTGTTATTTATTTTGTATTTTAATATTTTCTGGTCACTTTTTTGAGATGTACATAAAATGGTTACTATCTGGGACTTCATTTTTCTTCAATTTGCTGCAAAAGGATGCTTTGCCTATTTTGGATGTATCCTTTCATAATGCCATTGTTAGTAAAGGATTGTATAAGAACCAATCTTTGCTCTCAAATGGTGTTTCTGAATGTTGTGCCATAAATTGTGTTTATACATTTTTTTCCCTTCTCAGTTTTTGTCTGGACTCCTTCAGGGCAGGAAAGAAGTTTAACTCAGTGAAAGATCTTCTAGCATCATCCAGAGGTTCTTCGCCTGTGAGGGAGAGGGCCATCTCTGCAGTGAAGTCATTAGTGCTACGTGAAAAGGAAGAAAATTTCTCAACTGAGTTTGGTGGTGATGAGAAACTTCTTTCTCTGATAAATTTACTGCTTGATGCAGGTATATGCTCAATTTGGTGACTTTTGTAAATGCCAAAATGAATATTTGTGCTGTTTGCTGCAGCTTAATAGGCTGTGCATGTCTTTATTTTATTTATTTATTTTTCCCCGACTATGTGCCAGACCGTTTGTTGTAACTTCTGGTTACAACTTATTCTGTGAAATAGTTTAAACAAGTCGCAAAAAGTTGATTATCCCGAAGTTGGGGGCTATGAAGCACCAATACTTCAAAATGGGTGCCATATCGGTGTCAAACACGTATGGGATATGTTACTTTTTGTAATTATTCTTTTTTTCTAGGACATTTTGGGGGCACTTTACATAAGTGCATGTCTTGTGTTTGGACACGTCTCAGAAAAAATATATATATAAAAAAAAATAAAAATAAAGAAAGTTGATTAGGGGTCAAAGTAAAATATATGAAAACAAAGATGATTAGGGGTCAAAGTAAAATAAAAAATAAAATATAAGTGCGTGTCGGTGTCAAACATCTTTGTGAGTTTCTTTCTTATTTAAAAAAAATAAAAAATAAAATTAGAAAGTTGATTAGGGGTCAAAAGTAAAATATATGAAAACAAAGATGGAGGAAAGTGAAAATAAAAATATACTCACATATACATTGATGCCTCTTATATTTTGTGCCCTAAATTTATATTCATGTACATAGAAGATAAAAATATATATAAAAGTTTTATTTTTGCCCTATGAAGCATGGACACGTCAAAATGGAAGCTGTGGTGGTGTCGGATACGGGAACACACAGAGGACACGGGGACACGCCGAGGACATGTATGCGACACGCCAGATGGCGTGTCCCCTTAATTTAATTTAATTTTTATTGCAAGGGACATGGCGGAGACACGGTGGGGACACGCGTGTCCAAATCTGGACATGCCATGGGACACGGTCGGCGAGAAGAGTAAATGAAAGAGAAAAGGAGTACAAACCTAGTCGGCGCCGTAAGCCTTGCTCTCTCATGACTTCAATCTCGAGCCAATCGACCTCCATCCAGTCCATTTCGACTAGCGATAGGCCTTCAACTTCGACGATCCAGTCCACTTCGACTCCCTTCGACTTCGATGATCCAGAGCCCTTCGATTCGACTTCTCAGAGCTCTCTCTCTCTCTCTAGCCGTCGCCTTCTTAGAGCGCTCTCTCTCTCTCTCGCCTTCTCTTTCTCCCTTGCAATCGCGGTCGCGATCGATCACTCTCTCTCTCTCTTTATCTTCTTGACTGATATATATAACTATTATTATTATATATTATATAATAGCTATTATATGACACATAATATACTTATAAGATAATATATAATACATATTATAAGATAATATATACTTATACATATTAATAAAATATAAGGCCTTGTTTGACATATACTAAAAAAGTCAAAAAGTCAAAAATTCAAAAAGTCACTATCTTATTTAAGTCACATCATCTTATTTAAGTCACATCACCTCTCTACAATATCACTTCAAACCCAATCCATACCCAACCCATATTTCATAAAAGTCAAAAAGTGCACTTATTTAGAACACCCCAAACCACCCCTAAATAAATACATGTATGTAAAATAAAATAAAAAAATTAATTAGAACACATTATTTAAAAAATATAATAAATAAATAAAATAATTAATGTATATTAAAATAAAAATATTTATAAAAAAATTAAAAAATTTGCCGTGTTCCTTACCGTGTCCATGCTTCATTTTGCCCCATATCCCCGTTGTGTTCATATCCAATTTTTTTCAATATTGTCAAGTCCCATGTCCTTGTCCGTGTTCATGTTTCTTAGGTTGGGGGAGGGGTTCTTTTAGTTTTTGCTTATAGAGTATCAGCTTTCAGTTTGGAATAATCCGTAGCAAACAGGCCCATTACATCGTTATTTATTTATTTTTATTTTTGCATTTTGCATTATCCCTTTATGATCTTTCACTTCCGTTGTAATATATGCAAGATATTCGCAGAAGGACAATTTCCTGGTAGGAAGATTGGCACTGATTCAGATATACCAACAAACATGACATCTTTGCCAAAGGATATCCATGGTGCTCCTCCAGAAAGCTTTGTTGTTAGACTTTCTGAAGTCATTGGAACCTTTAAAACCCTACGGAAAATGGCATTCTTTTGGTACAAGGTTGTTAGCGAAGTAAGTGTAATGTATATCATATTAATATGAAAGGTAGATGACAAAGGAAACTGTGACCTATGTCAATGCTGCTTGTTCTAAAATGCATTAATAAGTGATTTATGTTACTTAAATTTACTCATCTCTTGAAGACATAAATTGTTTATTGCTCACGCATATTTGCAAATTTGTGTTTCCAGCAACTTAGCGCATCATCATTATTAAATTTATGAGTTTGACATAGTTAATACAGCGCACGATGGATAGTTTTGATCCATGAAAACTGTCGTTCTCTGTAAAATTTCATTTAACATGTCTATTAGGCTTATGTGAATGTACTGAAGCTGAGCATTTAAATTAGCCTCAACCAAGGCACAATTTGGCATTCCCTACAAAGTGTACTTTTTTATCTTTTTATCTTTTTAGGCACATCATCTCTTTACTTGCACATCTTTTCGTAAAAAGTCAATAATTATACTTATTTAGATCATTCCAAACACCCTCCTACTCTTGTCAGTTTACTTCTGAAAGTCATTCATCATGCTTCAACTTTTCCAACTTTTAGTATAGACTTCCTATCATAGCTTCCTCATTCATTTCACTTTGTAATTGGTATGGATATTGATGTTATAAAGGTGCATCACCACTCCAGAAAACTCATGGAGTTGAACTTCATAGCTACTATTCATTCAGGAAAAGATTGTAAGAGGATAACATATCAGTCCCACAATTGAACTATGCAGTCCTGTAATAAATTTACCTTTCCAGTGCATGTGTCACAAAAAAATAAAGTAAAATAAATATATAATTGAAAGAGGAAGTGTCACTTCCAGTGGACTGACTTAAAGACTACCTACTTTTGATGCAACAATCCTAGAGCTTTACCTGTAATTGCTGTATTCCCATTGGGAGAACTTTCTTCTGTAGAGGGTTTATAGTTTAATACTATGCATCTGGTGTACAGAGGTTATGCGTTTTTTTAAAACAATTACATAACTCGTAAAAAATTGATCCATGTTTGCCTGATGGTGGAGTTAACTAGTAAATACATCTCACATTTTCACAAGATAATTAAATTCCTCTGTGGCATTCAACTTCTAATTTCACCTTGTATGCCATTCAAACAAATTTGGGATTGATGAATGTCTGAGTTTGACTACTTTACTGCTAGTTGAGATAGAATAAACCATGCTACTTTCCCACTAATCTTTAGCTGATGGGTAATTTGTGAATCCTTTGACTTGCAGCTGAGAAGACTTTGGTCTGAAGGGCAATATGTTCCTGGCATCCCTCCTGACAATATTCCAGACTTAAATTCATGTCTTATCTATCAGAAATTACAGGTTATCAACTGTTGTATTTCCAGAAAAAGGCGCCGCGACATTGCCACAGAGTCATTAGAATCTGTAATTAGGCAAGCTAGTTCAAACGTTGAAGAATCAGCTGTTTCTGAAGGCACCGTTCCTGTGACCCCTGTTTTGTATGCTAGAATTAGCACGGGGGAACTTGTTCTCCGACTAGGAACTGATAAACAATCTGACAATTTAACAATGCTGGAAAATGGGGAACCTGTTTATACCCCTGATATGCAGGTTTGGCCTATCCATCAAGCTATAATAATTACCTTTTTTAACTTCATCTTATTGTTCAGATCTGTGTACATTTGTGAATGTAGGAAGGACCGTTGCTTACAGAAGATCTTATCAAAGAAACAGAGGAGCTTGTGTTACGAACAGGGAGGTCAGTGTATTGAGTAAATACCATCTAACTGGCCTATTTTTCAGATACAACTTATTGCATTACTTGAAGACTGTATATTTGATTTTGTAGCTGTATTGGAAACTAATGTTGTTAATTTGAGCTTTCCAACCATCTTGCAGCCCCTTTTTCCTGGTTGGTGCAGTTGATTTTAGATTTCCTCATTGAAAATGTGACATTGATGTTGAACTTTTATTTACTTGATTGATAAATCAAAATAGTTCAAATTGAAAGAAAGGACTATAGGTGTTGCTTGGTGACACTGTAAGATCGATTGTTTCAGCAACTGACGAGGAATTGTTGATTACTTACCTCATACTTTTAGTTCTTCAATAAATTAGCAATTTTGAGTCAATGCTTGGTTTTATTAAGGAAGTGGCATTATTAATCAAGAGTTGAGAGATAACGTGTGCTAGTGCAAAGTTCCGTGGTTAGAGAAAACCGGGATTTAGATCTATGAAATCCCATTGTTTTGTTTATGACTGCAATTCTTTTTGTTTTTGTTGATTGAAAGTGTACAAGTGTCAGGTTTATAAGAGCCAAAAACTTAGCAAAGGGCAGTGTTTAATTTTTTTTTTTGATAAATAAAATTTATTAAACCAAGAGCATCAAGAAGATGCTAAAGAATACAAAAACAGGAGCCCTGAAAAGGGGAACACCTAGCCAATTACATCATCTATGAAATCTAAAAAAGAAAACAAATGTGGATCCACCCGCCTAGACACCCAGCCACACAGAACTCGGAGAAACGTGTTTTGTGAAGGGCAGTGTTGTTTATTGTTTCGTAATATGCACTTTACATTACTTTTATATAGTTAATATTTCTCCTTTCCTCTTGAGGCATTCTTTGACAAATTGATGCTTTTATATGTTCAGTCTTGGTGCTGGGTGTTCACAACTCCTCTCGGATATGCAGGCTTTTAAGGTGATGTATAATGAAAATGTTTTTTCTTTTTTTTTTGGGTAATGTAGAGGCCTATATACATGGTACTGTGGTAAAAGAATTAAAAAGGTCAGGATATTGTCCAACACTCAATTCTGTTTTCTTTCATCTTATGTTAGGCTGCAAATCCAGGTTGTATTTTGGAAGATTTTGTAAGGTGGCATTCCCCACCTGATTGGACAGAAATGGAGCCGAGTGGTGACGCTGAAGTCACATCTAATGATGGTGATTTATTGTCTACCAAAGGTCAACTAAGTAGTCGAATGCAGAAGGAAGGTTAATCCTCTTACTTCATCATGCATTGCATAATTAGGTAAACCTAAAATTTATATGCTATCGCATCATAGATTTGCTCTCCTAAATGGTTGCTCTGTGGTGTTTAGGTAATTTGTGGCGTGAATTGTGGGAGACAGCAAAGCCAGTACCAGCTGTTAAACAAGCACCCCTCTTTGATGAGGACTTGGCTGTGTATGTTGCTAGATTTTAGTTAATGCCATCATGTTAGGGCCCTTTTGGTTGAGCAAATTAAATTATTTCATTTGAATTAACTAATTCTGAATATTTTAATTTATAAATGAATAAATTCAAGTTTTTGTTAGTGTTGAACATAACATATTTTGAATATCTTTGTTTTAGATTAGTAATCCCATGTTTTAGAAGATTTTATAGTTGTTTCTTTTCACAACCATACACATCTTAATTCATGAATGAGCTATTTCTAAAATTGGCCAATTCATATTTTTGTGACAATCAAATGGACCCTTAAAATTTGGATCTCAATTATAAAGGCTGTCATGGTGCTTTGCACTGCAGGGAAGGGATTCTGAATGACTTGGAGGATATTCCACCTTCCGAGCTTTTTGAACAATTGTTTGTTTCTCTTGTAAGTCATCTACTCATCATGCATTATTACATTTTTTCCATTAATTTTTAATAAATTTCATTCTATATATATATAAATATAAATTGAATGTTCTATTCTTGAACTGATAGTTGTCATTAACCAGAAGTTTGTGGCATTAGTGAGTAATTTGCATCTTAGGCCATTAGCAGAGGTGGCGAATTCTAAATTACTAAAGCATGGCTCTTTTATTGTCCTTATTATGTATCATTTTTCTAAAATTTTCAGCTGGGTTGCGGATTTGTAATTGCTGAGGAGAAACTCTCCACAAACAATAATTTATCGAAGCTGTTCTGTGAGTGCAAAGACTACATTATAACCACTTGTCAAGGCAGTGTCTGGACTGAGAAAATTGATGACATATGCCAGGTAGGTTTGCACAACTGACTAGAGATTTATGAACTGGCTTTTAGGTTTTATAAGTTTTTGCAAAAAATGTGTGACTACGTGGTTTGGACTATAAATACTCCAATACTTCCGGAAGACTATTTCTGTATACTGTGTCTGCTCAGATTTGGATTTAAATTAATGACAAAAGCAAAATGGTTGTAATATCAATACTTGAAGTTGATTAATTGTCGGAACTCATTAGTTTAAAATTTGTGTGTAGGTCTATGAAACAGTGGAGATGATGATACTCAAGCCAGAGGAAGCTGTAAAGATGATAAAGCAGCCTGAGGAAACCACCACCACTGCAGGTGAACCAAGACGCCGGTTCAAAAGGCTTAGCGTCATCTTTGGCAGCAAAGATAGGCACTCGGGTAAACCAGCATTGAAAGACCAGAAGAATGGTGAAGATAACGCAACACGCCAATCATTCTCATCCATATTTTCAAAGAAGCCTCCTAGGCCTGATGCCCCATCCTCGGCTGAAAAACCAGTTTGTTCTGTTGAAAATGATTGGACAGTCGTTTAAATGTGCTCAATTTCACTTGTAAATGTAAATTGTTTTAGAACAACAGCTCAGGGTTGACATTTGTTTGATATTGGATATTTCTGATTTTTTTGTTTTTTGAATGGAAAGAAGAAATGAAAAAGTTCTTTGATCTTCACTAGCTCAAGTTGCCAGGAAGCCCATGTCATTTCTTGCCTTTTTTTCGCTTTCACTTCTTGCCGATTTGCTTTCATTCTCAACTTCTCAGGTATCGTCATCGTTAGGTTTCTGGTCTTTGCTTGCCTGATTGGATTGGAGATCTTTCAAGATGATATCTGGGACGATAAAATTGGCAATCCAGTACACGAACAGGAGTACAGCACTGTCATCGTTATCAAACATGTTTTTCAATGCATTAGCTATTGCTGTGATTTGATTTCAATTTTGTTCATGAATGACACAGAATGTAATAACTGACAACTGACCTCGTCTGGAGTAAGATTGATATGTCGGCGGGCTTGGCCACGGAAGAGACACCAAGAACAAGTGAATTTGTTACAGCCTTTGTCTTCAGAGAAGTGTTTTGATACTTGTAAAGATGGCTAGTAGGCTGATTGCTGGTGAGCCAAAGCAGTTTAGCTGTGTGTTTTAGTTGTTGCGTATATTTGGGGTGTGAAAGGATGGGATAGATTGGAGAGGGAAAATGTTGTATGGAAATCATAGTCATGGTGATGATATTCAGAGTCTGAAACAATTCTGTTTTTTTCTTCGGAGTTTCTATTTAGGTATCTGTTTAGATGGATGTGCTGCAGCCAAGTAAGTTTGGATAATGTTTTGGGCATAAGGGCGTGTTTGGATGGAAGGTAAATTGTTACCCATCACGTGCTTTCTAGTGACCAGGACCACGAGCCAACACCAGAGATCAAACCGCCCAAAAATTTATAGAAACTAATGTTATAATCATTTTATTTTTTATATTATATTATATTTATATTTTACGTGTCAATTCAACATTTTCTTATCTTTAAATGTAATATTAATAATTAAATTAATACATAAAATTATATAATTATTGTAACTTTACTCAAAAAGAAAAAGAAAAAGAAAGAGAGAAAAAAACTAATCAGCAGAGCTTTGACTTTAGGCTTTAATTGAGAGTGGAGTGTGACCTACAGTTATGAGGTGTGAGAGACGGCAAAGTTCTGTGAGTTGTAAGCATTAATAATGCACCCATCCCACCCACCTATTCATACTGATAACATTACTCCCATCGTCTTAAAGAATTTTACTAAATATCTTATATGTGTATGAGACTCACACAATGTAGGTCCATGTGAGATATTTAGTAAAATTTTTGGTAGAATTTTTGGGGTCTCTAGCATTTTGTTTTTTAAATTTATTAACACAAAAAGTACAATTACTCTCTCTGTTTCAAAATAATAGTTCGTTATGAGAAATTTAACTTTTTTTAGTAGTATAATTATTATTCCTTAAAATAATTAAAATTTCAAAAATATCCTTTGATAGTGCAATTTTTTTAGGAATATCAATTGCCATAATTATACCTTTTGTGTTATTAATGAATTTAAAAGAAAGACAAAATAGAAAATTTATATTATTTCAGTCATTGGTTTTTGAAAATAGACTAATATTTTGGGATAATAAAAAATGGAATAAGGGACTAATATTTTGAGACGGAAGGAGTATGACAATTGATATTTCTCAAAAAATATATAATCAAAGAGTAATTTTGAAAAATTAATATTTTTACAGTATAGTAATTATACTACTAAAAAGAATTAAATTTCTTAAAAAGAATTATTATTCTAAGACGAAAAGAGTATTTATTTATTTATTTATTTTGTAGTAACGACTTCGACCTCGTTATTTATATATTTATTTATTTTGCTTGGGTTGACCTCGTTATTACACTAGGGTTTTTTGGATTCTAATACAAATTCTAGAATTAAGTGAAATTTTTCAGTCGTATAATCTGGACAAATGGAAAGTATTGATGAAAGTCGAACTTGAATTTAATACGTGAAATAAATTTATTGTGATTACAAAATGTTATTGTTATACTATTTATATATATATATATATTTTATAAATAAAATTTTGCGGTAACAATAATAACATGCACCAAATGGCATAGCATTACAAAAAATTAAGATTTTAGATATCAAAATTTAAGGATAAAATTATTTTTTAGGGACCAAATATTTTTGTTGCGAAAAGTGTTATTATTATATTTTTAGCAACGAAAATTAAATATTAGTGATGAATTATTATATGTCCTTTTGGGACAAAATTTTTTGTCTAAAAAATAAACCATTTTGAGAATAAATTATTTTGTCCATAGAAGTCTATGTATTAGTGACATTTTTAAAATTTTGTCACTAAAAGCTTTATTTTTAACTTTTCGGAATGATCTTTTAACAACTATTCTCATGACGATAGAAATTAGTTCCTAAATGTCTTTTGCAACAAAATTTTTACTTTTAGAGACCAAAATATTTGATTTCTATAACTCTTATATGCTATAGTGTAGGATACACATTCACAGCAACCATGAAAGGTGCAAAACTATAAGGGAGGATCTCTATTATATTATCAAAATTTTAAATTTAAATTAGTGATAAATTCACATAATTATTTTATAATTCTTTGATGATATAATAGAAATATTCTATTACAAACATATAATGGGACAAATTATGACAGTAGTTCATATACTGTGCTCCTCCCTGTGTCATTTTAGTTCTTACAATTTTAATTGGCTTGATTTTGATCCTAAATTTATGACTATGTTTCAATTTGGTTCAATTGATTGTTACTTTTAACATTTTTTTTAATAGAAAATACGTACATAAATGGTATCTGTTATAGTTTTAAGGGCAAAAGAATGAACTTACTAAATTTAATGAGTTAATCTCAACAAATTTAATAATAATTTTCTATTAAAAACATTAATATCATTATTAATTGGACCAAATTGACATATCATCTAAAATTAAAGGTCAAATTTAAACTAATTAAAATTGTAAAACTAAAATAACACAAGAGACAAAATATAAAAATACTAGTTGATAGAGAGAGAGAAAACTACGTAGAAAGAGAAGAACACTTACTACTACCTGAAATGAGTTAGTAGCTATTCATGAAAACAAACCCTAAAGATGCAAGAAGTTATTATGAGTAATATTAAGTTTGATGAAAGAAATATCATAAAAGAATTTATGAAATTTTTTAATCATCTGATTAGTTTGTGGTATTATTGAAAAGTCTTCTGAATGAATGGTAATATAAACTTGGAGAGGTCAGTCGTGGGGTGGTGGGGCAAGGATTATTAGGGTTAGGGTTTCCTTTTCAAAGTTGACAGTTGAATGCATTAATCCCTCTCCATGTCTCTGTCTTCGGCTGAGAAAAGATGGCCATATTTAAAACTTTCTCACCCGCTTACTATTCTTCTCATCTCTATAAATACTCTCTTTGTAGTTCTTAATTCTCATCAAAAAGTCATCTTCGCAATCACTACTTACAAAAGATGACTTCTTGTAAGTTTCTTCTTCTTGTTCTTCTTGGTGCTCTTTGTAAAATAAATTGATGTATATTATTGATTTGTATTGATTGATTTATCTGTATATTACAATTCTTATATATATAGAGGAGAAGATGGTAGTAGGTGTAGGTGGTAGTGGAGGTGGTAGGTGGAGTGAGTGATAGTGGAGGTGGTAGGTGGGTGGTAGTTTACATTTTACAATTTACATTTTACATTAACATGAAAGATGATGGTATTTACAATCGGAAAATCTTAGCACCAGCTCTTCCCATCCTTCTCCTAATCTTTATGTTGTCTTTCAATGAGACTGACAACCCTTTGATCTACATATATATAGATATATGTAAACCCTAATAAGGATAGGAGATGGGACTAGGCCTAAATAAAACAATTACTGGGCCCTCCCATTAAGGAACCCAAATAACTTAAAACAGGCCTTACACCTCCATATCACATATCCACATATAAAATAATATATACACTAAGATGACCATGGCCCAAACTTTATGGATCACAATAATAATTTTGGGCTCATACCAGTCAATCTATCTGAATCACGTTCAACCCGTTTTTCACAAACCAAACAAAATATAGTCAATGACAGCCTAATTAAGAATAAATTCTTACATTTTCCCACTTAGGCAACATTGACTACTACTTTAAGAAAATATTTTATTTAAGAAAAAAATGACTCTCGGGTTAAACAACTTTAGTGGCCACATAAACATGATTCAGAATAGAAACATCTCAGCACAGAATCCCGTTCAATGAGAAATATTAATATCGAACTGTAGCGGTAATTATGCTATTGAACAACATAACACCTTCCAAGGGGGCGACTTAGGGAGTGCGCCATGAGCGACTTATACATGATACTGTGTATAACCCCCCCTCAAACTCAAATAGGTGTGAAGATAGAAACCTATTTGAGGTTGAAACAAAAGGATTGATAAAACTGACCGGTGTAGAAGACACTGTATGAGTGTGTGATAAAGCTGACCGGTGTAGAAGACACTGTATGAGTGTGTAGATAGGTTGCCCAAAAAATAGACATGGAGATATATATCGAGCCCTCAAAAGTCGTGCCCTCAAAAGGTGTGCCCAATCTGTCAAAAGGCGTGCCATCAAAAGGCGTGCCCGATGCATCAAAAGGCGTGCCAGATATGATGGCGAGGCATGTGAGTGCCTTGGCTGGCGTGCCCGTTTGTCTGGCGTCAAGAGGCGCGCGATGCGCGTGGCTGGCCCTGGCTATTTAAACCAAGGTTGAGGCGAAGGCTGTGCATACCAGTCTGAAACCTCTGAAACCAACCCTTCTCGAAAAAAAAAAAACTCTGCCTCTTCGGAGAGAGAAACTGTGGAACACTTTGTAGCCCAGAAAATGTCTTCGTCTTCTCGCGGTCTGCTCACTCTCTTTCCCGACCTCAACGAGTCAACAAGAGAGATAACGGGTGCGGTGGCCAGTGAAACTCAACCAAGCGCTTCTGGTTTTGCGCCGTTGAGCTTTCCGATGCGGTCTGTGGAGCAAAAAATGGCGGTGCAAACTGATATTGAGGCCAATCAGTATACTCTGAAGTCATGTGTGGAGACCATGACGGCGGTCACAAACCTGTCGCACCGGCTGCAAAGTAGGACAAATGAGGTGCAGCAGTTAAACGCCCAACTGGCTCTGCTCCAACGCATGTATAAGGATGCGCGAGCAGAGATAAGCGTGCTAAAGACGGAAAACAAGGAGCTGAAGCGGAAGGCCACCGTGATGTTCCGATTTGGAGGGCCGCCATATGCTGCAGTGGAGGAGCAGGGAGTAGTGAGCATGCCCAGTGGAGGGGGTGACACGGAGGCAACACCGTCAAGGGCCGCCCAGGACGGAAGCAAGAAGAAAAGACCGTCGGCAAAGTAGAGAAGGGATAAGTAAAAAAGGCCGGCCGGTGGTGGGTGTTGGGGGGTGATGTTTGTTTGTTTGTTTGTTTTTTTTTTTTTTTTTGTGGGTGAAAAATGACAAAAAAACAAAAGAAGTTAATTTGAAAAAATAAATAATTGAAATTTGACGAATGCATCCACGTGGACAATCTGTTTGACTCTTGATTACATTATTGTCTCAATAAATTTTTTTTTTTTTTTTTTGGTTTTGAAATAAATAATAATCAAAAAACAAAAAGCCAGCTTAGTTTGCAAATGCAATAGGCTTGACTTAAAAAATAATAATAAATAAATAAACAAAATTTCTAAGGGCAAATTACATATACCTCCCTTGAAGTTTGGCTAAATTACAGATACCCTTGAGGTTTCAGAAATTACATCCCGCCCCCTGAGGTTTGTATTTTCATAACAATTTACCCCCTGAGGTTTATATTTCATAACAAATTACCCCCTAATTTCTTATGCAAATATAGCATTCAGGGGGGTGCGTTCCTATATATATATATATCAGCATTGATAGAGACCATCTCCAATCACCGCCCCCACGACCCCCCCCAACATACGTGGCGGGTGGTGATTGGAGGAGAAGAAAAAAAAGCGGGGGGGGCGGAGGCAAGGGGGAAAGGGGGGAGGGGGAGGGGGGGAAAAATGTTGTTATTTTTTAAAACCATTTGTTATCTCTATTGTGATCTGCATCCATTAAATATTCATTGTGGAGAAAACAAAGTGAGTGTGTTTGCTGTGAGTGCCGTATGACAAGAACATGTTAGCAGAGGGCCAAACTTCTGGAGGAGCCAATGGAGACGAGGAAGATACCGACTGCGCAAGTTAGCAGAGGGCCAAGCCAAAATGCTGCCTTGAGGGTTCTTGAAGAATTGCAGAGGGTGAAGGATTGCCAATCGAAGCTGAAGATTCCGACACATGCCGTTGAAGCGAGGAGCGGTGGGAACCATTCGAGAGGGCGAAGACCGCGGCGTAGGCGATCAGAGAAATCAGAGTGAGGAGGATAGAGAAGGCGGCGCAGATCGAGATGAGAATCGCGGAGGTGATGCTGAAGTACTTGGAGTGCTTATGGAGGCGGAGGCTGGCGGCGGAGAGGGATGCTGGGCTGTCGAAGACCCCGGCGGTGAGGAAGTCGGACCATGGGTGGTGACGAGAGACGGTGTCCGAGACGTTCTGGATTGAACGGGAAATGACATCGTCGCCGGAGATGGGGTCTTCGACAGGGCTTGGTGAATCTCCATTGAAGTAAGCTTGCCCAAACTAATCTCCATGGAAGAACACTCTGTTGTGTGTGTTGTGTATGCATCTGGAGAGAGCCGAGAGGAAGGAGTTGTTTTTCTTGAGTTTTTTTTTTTTTTTTTTTTTTTTTTTTTGAGTGGGTATATTGTTGAGACTGTGTGTGATGGAAGTAAGCTTGGGATTGAGCCATACTCTTTGGAGGTGTTGAAAAAACTCCAGCGGGCAGCGAAGGCATGGTTGCCGGCCGGCTGCCCGCCGGAAAGAAAGGAATATAGGCCTAAATCTTATAGCTCTGATACTATGTAAAATAAATTGATGTATATTATTGATTTGTATTGATTGATTTATCTGTATATTACAATTCTTATATATATAGAGGAGAAGATGGTAGTAGGTGTAGGTGGTAGTGGAGGTGGTAGGTGGAGTGAGTGATAGTGGAGGTGGTAGGTGGGTGGTAGTTTACATTTTACAATTTACATTTTACATTAACACTCTTGTTTGCTCCACCAATGCTAGAAAGCTTGTGAGCTCCTCAAAGGGCTCTTTTGAAGACGAAAAGTTGTTTGGTCATGGCGGCGGTATAGGTGGCGGCGGCGGAGGAGGTTTTGGAGGTGGCGGAGGATGGGGGCAAGGGGGAGGTGCAGGTGCTGGTGGTGGAGCTGGCTTTGGTGGCGGAGTTGGTGCTGGAGGAGGCGGTGGACTTGGCGGTGGCGGTGGGTTTGGTGGAGGTGGTGGGTCTGGTTTTGGAGGGGGATCTGGTGGTGGGTTTGGAGGTGGGGTTGGTGGGGGAGCTGGAGGAGGTGGCGGAGGAGGGTTTGGCGGGGGTGGCGGTGGTGGACTTGGTGGCGGAGCTGGCGGCGGATTTGGTGGAGGATCTGGTGGTGGCATTAGAGGTGGATTTCCTTGAGAGGATAGGACGCTTAAGATGTGTTTCCAAACCTTACTCTGCAAATTTTTCTACTATTTGATTGTTATGTGTTGAAGATGTATTGTTGCCAGCACAGATGCTTCTATGAATGAATATATGCTTGCCTTACAATCCAATTGTTATGGAAGAACAAACTATTTTAAATGAGAAGAAGCTAATGTTTTCTTCATATTTGGACTCTCTGACTCTGACAAACATATTCAAAAAAAATTTTATTAGGGAAATAACCAATCAATGTATGATTTTAAAAAAAAAGAAGAAGATTTATGGTAAAATTTATAAATTTTAATTATTAAAGTCATAAAATTTTCTATGAATATGTAATTATTTTTTAAAATTACACATGATTTGTAATTTCCCAATTTTTATTCCTCCAACAATATTTTTATACAAAACAATAATATTCAGTGTGTTTGGTTTAAGTTTTCTGGATTAAGTTTTTTGAAAATTGACTTTTTTGATTTTCGTATTTTTTTTGTTTTTAGTGAATATTTTTAAAATTTTAAACATTTTTTAGTGAATATTTTTTAAATTTTAAACATTTTTTTTACTTTTTGTCACGACCCAAACCCGGCCCTATGGGTTTAGCACCGTAACCGGCCAGTAATCCGAGATTACCGAAGGCCTGCCTAACAGAAATACAGTAAAACAGAGTACAGGGCCTGGCGGAAGCCAATACAGTAATTAAACAATGTCCAATGAGCTGTGACAGTCTGTATGCCAAAAAGATTTTTCATGCATTCATACATACAATTTTTTTTTTTGTATTTTTGGTATTTAGTGAATTTTTAAAAGATTTTTTTTACAATTTTTTTACTTTTTAGGTGTATTTATGTTAGGTGTGTCTAACAAGTAAAAAAATTGCTTAAAATATTAAAAAAATTCAGTAAAAACAAAAAAATACGAAAAATAAGAAAGTATAATTTTCTGAAAAGTGTTTTTTGAAAAGTGAAAATAAGCAACATTTTGAGAAAAATCATATTAAAAATTTGGTTATTTGTTTGGCAAGCGTACGGAAAATTATTGGGTACTTTACGGTCACGTAGTTTAGGATATTATGATTGGTGGAGAAAATGATACTTATTATTTTGGCCTTGAGATTTAGGGAGTCTAAGGCGAACTTAAAAAATGGGGCCTCTCTTACATTGAAAAAAAAAAGGTTCATGAATAAAACGATAAGTTATAACTTTTTTATTTGCTTCTAATCATAAAAAATTTACTTACACATATAATTATTAAAATTATAAACAAATATTTACTTTTATATATTAAGATAGGAAGCAATCATTACAAATACTCAAAAAAATAAAATAAAATATGGTCGTGTTGCTTTATAATTTAGCAATATTTAGTTTACAATTGAACCAACTATCACATAAACATTATTCTTCTCACATTTTTAGCTGCAAAATCATTAATGAAGCTTGCATAATCGAATTTATCCACCATGTCCTTTTCAATGGATAGCAAAGCTAACCCATTCAATCCGTGGACTGTGTTTTTTTTTTTTTTTTGGCCCCATGTTTAATTAGGCCTATAATATTTGGGTATTTTTTTTTTAATATCTAAAATACAAAATTATATTTGAGGCCCCCTATTTTCAACCCAAATTTAGGAGCTTAAGGTTCAAACTTCTCTTGCCTACCCTCAAGGCCGAGCCTGTCGAGAAAGATAAAAAGGCATGATCAATATAATGACTAATAAAGAAATATGAACACGTAAAATACCCAATAATTTTCTAAACACGAGTTATGTACTTAATTAACACCCATTTGGATTTGGTGGGCTCCTCGACGGTGCATGTAAAATCATATGAAATGGACAAGTCATAGTTGTTCAAAACTGATTGTTATTTGTCGAGAATTTGATGTAGAAAGAAACTGCAAAACATTACAACATATAAACATTTTAGGGATTAATTTTTTTTTGTCTGTAAAAATAAAATATTTTATTGTAAAAAATATTAGAATATGAATTTGTTGTCACAAGAATCGTCAATAAAAAGGTTGACCTGAAAAGTCAGAAAAATAATTTTTTGTGATAAAATTTTAAAATGTCACTAATAAATGCAAAATAAATTTGGTGTAAAAAATATTTATGTTTTGAGAAAAGAATTTCAATCCTAAAAGATCGTATTTTATCACTAAATATCCAATTTCATTACTAAACTTTTGACAATTAAAATATATCACTTTGAAATTGTGATTTCATTTTTAAAATTTTATTTCTAAAATCTTAATTTCTACCAAAAAATTGGAAGAAAAATAGAAACCGGCGGATTGATAAAAGTGTCACTAGAATTTGCCATTTTTCTTACCAAAAACCGGCGGTTCAATTGACAAATAATAACGAATTTGCCTTGGCGGTGCGGTTCGGTGCGGTTTTGGCGGTTTCGCCGGTTTCGGCGGTATTATGCACACCCCTATGCACAGCGCTGGAACATTGCCCTGTTCAGTTTATTTTATTTTATATTTTTTAATATTTTTTTTATAAAAAAATAAATTCCGGAGATATTTATAGTTATAAAAATAGTTTTTTTTTTGGGGATATTTACCAATAAATTCCATCACACAAACAATTGCACCATTTGGTCCCAACGTTGTGTCTGTTGCTCTAATTGGTCCTATAAGTGAGTGAATTTAGTCTAGTTGATCGTTTTTTCCTTGTTTGGTAATATGTATTGGTCATTTATACCCTTTTTGTTCACGTGAGTTTTTTTTTTTTTTTTTGTTGTGTATATGGAAGTAGTGTGTGGGTTTTGTTGTGTATATGGAAGTACAATATGTTTCCTTCATTGTGTTAGGGTTTTTTTGGCTGATGTGACGGTGTGTTTTGGTCATTGGTGTGTTTGTGAACAGACTGTGATTCGAGTTTCGCGTGCTGGTGTGTTGGAGGTATTGTTTTGTTTTGGGTATTTTCGTGTGCGTTGTGTGTCTAGGTTAATTGCATGGTGTGCCATATAATGTTCATATTGTAATCGTTGTTCCCCATTCGTATGGGGTTGGGCACATTCGTATTCAATATGTTAACGGCTTTCGGCCGTATACGTCGTTGTCTACATGACACATTGGTGTCGTGTATTGGTGTTTTGGGTGTTATACGTTTGTCTTACTATGTAATTTATACGATTTTTACACTCAATATGTGTTGATACACATTGCTGATTTTATGTGTATGTCATACACATGGCTAGGTTTTGCGTAGTATACGGGGGGTGGGGGTGTTGTTCATTGATTGTAATCTAAAACCATTTTGTTACATTGTTTGCATATTGTAGGGATGGACGCTCATGTTATGTTGGTGTGTTGTTACCATGGTACAAACTCTGCCATGAAGTTGCAATTTCCATTTCGATTTGATGATTTGGTTAATTCTGTCCGTCAAACTTTTGATGGTCTCACACATGCTAATGTGTGTTTATTTTTCAAGATTCTGGGATACAACAGTTTCAAATTACAAAATGATATCGATATGGAAAACATGGTATCTCTTGCACGGTCTTTCCATTTAGGACATATTGACGTTGTCGTTGAAAATCGATGCAAGCAAAGTTCAAACGGTTTTGGTGATGCAAATCGGAAACCATGTGATGTTACATTCAGTTCGCCAAGGGAAGGATATGAGTCCGACGATGACGATGAACAAGATGATTTACTCCCTAAATTTTGTCCTCATGTTGACAAAGTTTTCGTGTCCGCTCCATAGGCTAATGGCATCACACATGTGGGTGAAAGCTTTGAAGGCGGGGCTGTTGAATTCCGTAATGTTCTTCGTAAGTATGCAGTTGAATGTGGATTCTGGTTCAAGTATCTAAAGAATGACTCCGTTCGGATTACAGCTGTGTGCACGATGAGGGAATCTAAAGGATATATGTGGTCTATACACACAAGAGTCCTTCATGTTGATTAGTTCTTTTACATTCGTAAGTGGAACGCAGAGCATAGTTGCGGTGTTGCCATTCGGACACCAAAAAACCCGAGGGCAGGGTCTGATTTAGTGTCTGATGTTATCTCAGAACAAGTACATGACAACCCGCTCGCATGACCCTCCGATGTTGTTTATGACTTGAAGAAAGATTATGGATTAGAGATAAGCTACTGAGTAGCATGGTTAGGAGTTGAGAAAGCAAGTGGCAAGATGTTCGGTGCACATGCCATTTCGTTCGATCAATTACGGTGGTATAGTTATGCTGTTATGGAAAACAATCCGGGCAGTTACGTTAATATTGACTATGATGAACAAAATCACTGGTTTGTACGATATTTTATATCATTCAAAGCATTCATCGATGGGTTCAATCATTGTCGCCTTTTACTATTCCTGGACGGTACGTTCTTGAAGGGGAAATTCAAAAGACACTTGCTAGCTACTACTGCAAAGGATGGCAATCAAGGTTATGCTCATTCGTAACACACACTGTTATTAGCATAATTTGTTTTTTTTTGTTAAACTCAATGATGTTTGCGTCTTACCCATTTACCGAACCCACTATTAGTTTTGCACACAGGTTTATTCCCATTGGCCATTGCAATTGTTGACTCAGAGAACACAACTAATTGGGCTTGGTTTTTGGAACACCTCGCGAATGTGGTCAAAATGGACAAGACAATCACATTTATTTTAGACCGACACACAGGTATACTCGAATCTATTCCGATCACATTTCCATCTGCCCACCACGCGTTCTGCTTGCAACATTTGCAACGGAACTTGCAAGACAAGATGCGATACACCAACAAGATGCACCGTGTCGGCTTGCTAAGCAAATTCGTGAATGCGCTTACGCACCGACCGTAACAACATTCAATTCTAGCTTAGAAAGGTTTAAGACATCGGGCCGACAAGTGGCAACGGGTTTTCTGAAAGATTTACCTCCGGTGTACTGGGCAAATGCCTACTTTCGGTACGCACCCAATCATGAATATATTGCACCAAATTAATTTTGTACATGGTTCGGCTTAATGTATTTTCCCTTCATA